GTATATATACATAAATATATTTATATATAAATCAGTAATTTATTTGTAACTATTTTAAAATAAACGTAAAGGTGTACTTATAGTACTCCAACGATAGTGCTAAGTAATCTTGGTAGTTCTCACTAAATTTCTTCAATATAAGCGATTGATATGGTGTTTATAAATATTTTGCCTTTATTTATGTGGTTTAGTACTAAATATTTTTTTATGTTAACATATTCTTTTGTGTTTTGTTTCAGAAAAATGTGTTTTTGTTCGTCAAATGCTGATCCTAGACAAGAAATTGGGAAGAACAACAGGACCCTTGAAATTAACTGTTTGGGTGAGTTCATGTGACCATTTTTATGCATTGATTGTACAAATCTTGCTTTTGTTCGCATTGACTCGGTCCTTCAGAGGGTTTTAAAAAATACGTGATTCAGAGTTTGGACAATATTTATTCATATACACGATATACAATTATTTTTAATTCACCCAATCTTATATTCATGCTACATTAAAATGGAATGAAATAGACATAAAACACTATAGAAGACTCAGTACATCTTTCTTAAACTTACTTTAAAAAGCAATTATACATTTCGAAATATTTAAAAACATCGATAATACAATAGATACTTAAACTTTGATACCAAAAATTGAATGCGCTATTATGAGTTAACAGAGTTAATAAACGGTTTTTTTGTTTCTAAAAATTATGTAATTAATTATTCAAAATTGATTCGTAAGCTTGAAATACCGAAGCGGCAACTTCTACAGATCTAGACTTCAGACTGAGAGTAGCATTAGTTACTCCTGGTTGCAGTTTTAATTCCAAAAGCACCCAGATATTATTAGTAAGTTTAAGTGACTGATACAGCATATCTTGACCTTCCACGTTACGTTTTGCTATCGTAAAAATGTTGTTATGTGTCATCTTGCTAGCCACTGCGTCTGCATTGCCTTTAATATTATGAATGGTGTACTGAACCTACGAGAAATACAAATACAATCATTACAAAGGACCCTAAATACCCTAATGAAAGATAACGTACTTCGTTGGCTGCTGGAATATCTTTCCAGGTAGTTAAGAATACTCTCTTATCCAATTGCCCATCCTCACAGAAAAGAACTTGAATGGGAATTTGACAAGCATAATAAAATATGTCCACGTTATTTTTAATTGCAACTTGCAAGGTCATCAGAGGTTCCATGCGTTGTACGGGGCCATTTGTAGTCAAGGGCAAATTATTTTCGATACTTTGGCCAGGCTGCAAAACTCCAAGATTGAGAGAGGCTCCTGGAGCAACTCCGAAACTATTTTTGTTAAACTGAATCGCGAAATTGTTCATAGCCTGAAATTAAAAGGACAAACTTTAAAAAAAATACCCACTAAAAATTGTACACCAACAGCCTTACTTGCATCGCCTTGTTTGTAAATGTTAAATCCATCGTAATTTGTCCAGAACGTCTTGAGAAGGTACCCCATATCTCGAGCCCTTTTCCTTTTTCGGCCGGTAGCCAGCAGGTCTTGGGGGGTGTGTACATGGCNTAACTGTAGTATTGTTGTAATGGCTAATTAAAAAAGGACAACATTAATTAACTACATTTTAAGGAATATAACAAATGTAAAAAGATATACATATAATCGCTTAACGTATTAATTTGTTTTAATTAAAGTTAATAACGATTATTACTATATCGTGTTATTGCAATGATTGAATTGTGTCGATATTTTCATCGACATAATCTTCTTGTTTTCGATTGTTTTACAGGCAGAAGTTGACAGAAACTGTGAAAATCGTTCTTTTACAAAAATGGGAGGTTCAGCAAAATGCAGAAGACCCTCGGCAGCCCCACGACCCACCCTCCCACGTTCAGGTATATTAATCTGTATATAGATACGCTCTACTGTACGTTTTTGCCTTGTAACTGAAATCGGTATAAATGGGCTAGACGATGCAACATTCTGGAGCTAATTGACAAATAAATCGTTTAATAACAAATAAAATATCCAGGATGTTTTCGTTCAGTCAGAATCTTTAATTAAAAGTCTCCAATTTAGACGTATTCAAATTGGAACTAAACAATTGCAAAGAAATGGGTAGGTTGCACGGCTATATTCGAATGTATCGTTGGTTGCATACACATACACTCTAATATATATAATCATTAAATTTCTCTAATGTTTGCCGTCTAAAATATAAGTTATAAAGTTATGAAAATGTCAAAATTAAAATGTGAGTGCTATGCACTATCCAGCGTCCAAATTTGAACGGTCTCAGCTAGTTATCAGTAACTGATGTGATAATAATTTTACAGATAGCGTTGATAAAGTTCCAGCCTATTTGGTAGCAGTCCATCGAAAATGTGTTCGTCAAGAGACATACTTTTTGTCACAACACAAGTTAAAACCCAGCCTCTTTGGAATGCCTCTGCTACTGGGCTGTAACGCTAATAGCACTTGCAAAGACCTGTACGAAATGGTTTGGAAACAGGTCACGCGCCTTCTTAGTCCACTGCCTCAAAGCGACCAAACAAATCATGCAACTGATTGGTAAATATTTTATTAATTGATTTTTTATTGATTGTTATACTTGTTTTTTTTATTAGTGATGATTCATTGGGTTACGAATTCCCTTTCACTCTGAAAGCCGTCCTCCAGGGCGGCCAAATTTGTGCCTTATGCCCCTGGACGCAATTTTGTAGGGGTTGCGTTATCTCTTACTGCGACGAAAACCTTTTCAACATATGCAAAACTGCGAACAGTAGTGGAATGTGTGTTGCTATCGATTGGGATCCTACTGCTTTACATCTTCGGTACCAAAGCAGCAGGGAAAAAGTAAGTACCTCAAACTAAACATTAAAAAATAAATTAAATTAACGAATCCTTCTAGGTCTGGCATGAACACGAGTCAGTGACAATTTGTAGAAAACTCCATACAGAACCAATCGATTTAGATTATTGTCTGAGGGCTTTCACCTCCGAGGAAAGACTGGAAGCGAAGTATCACTGCTCTAAATGTCAAGAGAAACAGCCTGCTACCAAAAAGCTGCAGATATGGAGATTGCCTCCCATTTTGGTAAAATTGTCTACTAACGTCATTAAATGTTGTGTTCTATTTTTACCTGTTTCAGATAATTCACCTCAAAAGATTCGACTGCGTAAACAGCAAGTGGGTAAAAACGCAAAAAGTAGTTAATTTCCCATTTAAGGACTTCGATCCCACACCTTATTTGGCTGCAGTCCCACAGGAAACAATCATACGTCATCGGCAGTTACTCAAAAAACGAAAAAATAAAATTTTGATTGAAAATAACAGAACACCCCCAACTAAAGGAAATGTAAACGAGGAAGATGTCGCTTCGGTATTAGAGAACGATAAAAGCGTCAAAATCAACAATATAGACGATCCATTTTTGGACATCAAGGTTCCAGATAAAGGTAGTATTTTTTATGTAATATACACCCTGTATATTATCGTAATATTTTTATAATCTGTTTAGGTGAATGCGTGATTGTAGGCGAAAATAGCGAGTCCGCCAGCGAAACCAGTCGATTAGTAGATAGCGAGGAGAGTGCCGATGAGATAGGTAACTGCTCGATACCGTTCGGGCTCCCTAAAGGGGGCAGCAAAATGCGCGAACGTCTCATTTCTACCAGTCTACAGAAAACGCCCATTAATGACGAAGATCTAAAAGACTTCCATGAACACAAACTGTTACCAGGACAAGACCCTTTCGACCTCAAGTATCAACTCTACGCAGTTGTGGTAAGCTGTAAGAACAATTTTAAACAATATAATAGAATTGTTGGAGTTTGGCATCCCATTTACATATGCATGTACTTTCTTAGAGTCATTCAGGTCTACTGACTGGCGGCCATTACATTTCATACGCCTGCAACCCCAATGGTCACTGGTACTGTTACAATGACAGTTCGTGTCGAGAAATCCCTGCCGATGATCCTCCTGTCGTGGTCGACTATTCGGCCACTGGGGGCGACGTGCCCGTATCGTCTCAAGTTGCGCGCATGCCCTACTCAAAGCCAGTCAGTCGTAGCGCGAACGCCACGCCCGTAATACGTCGTAAGACGTACACGAACGCGAACCGAGCGTCGTTGATGACGACTTCCCTGTGTGAAAGGGGCGGCAGCGATTCTACAGTCAACGCCAGTCGTGATTCTGCGTCGTCATGCTCGAATCTCGAAAACAGTAGCGCGAGCGAGAGCAATTCGACGATCACGCCTGAGATCAGCGCAGTTGGCGTTGAAACGTCGTGTTGTGCTACAGACTCGACGACATCTTGCGACGATCGTTCTGACGAGGTCGATGGCGCTCGATGTCGACCTATTGTTGAGGCCGAATCGTCGGTGTCGTTGAATGAGTTTAGGTGCGCTTATAGTGACGCGAAAACGCCCAAGATCGACACGAGCAGTGCATATATCCTATTCTATGAACGTTCAGGTCTCGATTATCGACCTTATTTGCCTGAGATTGTATCAAATGGACCGGTCGCAGCCGTTGATCCGGAAATGGACGAGAGCGAGTCGGAACTGAGGAAGCAGCTTTGTGCCATACAGTAAATCCCCGCCGCTTTTGGTCTGATATAATGATGGTACTACTGCTTTCTTCTGATTCTTTGGCCGCTTCGTTTCAAGGTATAAACAATATGAAACAAAAAGCTCCCATAACAATGTAAGTTTTGGTTTTTCTTCTTTTATTTTTCTTGTGTTATTAACTGAGCGAGTTTCCTTTATAAATAAATAGGAATGAAAATATACTGAATGATGATTGTCTAAAGATTTCTTTTAATTGGGACCAGATAATTGGCATTTCAAACTAAAATTTGGACAATGTTATTAATTAAAAACAGTTAAAATTCTTTTTTTTTAGCATTATGTAAGCAGTTCATTAAAAACATTTACCAAAAAGTTTGTGGTTTGCTGGTGTGCCATTTTATTATCATCAGATATCGCAATTTTGAGACTGTATTCAAAATCTGCCATTTTAATTAATAATAATAATATTGAATATTAATAATTTTTT